AGGGTCTAAGCCCGAAACGTCAGCTTTCCTGCTCCTCTGATGCTGCTTGGCCTGCTGTGTTCATCCAGCTCTACACCTTGTTATCTTAAGACAAGGCAGCACAGTTTACTTGAGTGGAATGCAGAATGATCTGTAATACGGGAACACTTGGACACTACCGATACCGTCAGCAGCTACATGAGCAGGAAATGATGCCAGCTGCAGAAAGTCGAGCTCGAGATTTCAGAGCTCAAATGGCAGCTACAGTCACTGTGGTGCATCCGCAAGGCTGAACGTTGTGGATAGTATGTCCGGGGGTGGGGGAGTTCACACCACTGTTTAAGGCCCTGGAAGCAGAAAGGGAATGGATGACCGCCAGGTTGTACAGGAGTTCCCTGGGGTTCCACTTACAAATTAAATTTGTTTTGGAAACTGATGAGGGCATTGGTTCCTCAAGGAAATGCAGCCAGAGTCAGATTTGCAGCGCCGTGAGCAGCTTGGCTGTATGGGAGGGACAAAAGAAGAAAGGAGGGGCAACAATGATAGGGGATTCATTGGTCATGGGAACCAACAGAAATTTCTATGTCTGTACATGTGATTCCAAGGTGGTATTTTGCCTCCCTGGTGCCAGTGTCAAGGATGTCTTGGAACAGCTGCAGGACATTCTTCTGGGGCAGGGTGAACAGCCAGAAGCTGTGGTCAACACTTGTACCAATGACTTGTGTAAGAAGGGAGATTTTGGTCCTGTTGTCACAATTTAGGGAACTAGGTAGAAGATTAGCAAGCACAATCTCAAATATAGTAATCTCCAGATTGCCCCCAGTGAGAACAGGAAAAGGAGGATAAGGCAGATGAATGCATGGCTGGAAAGATGGTGAAGGAATAGGGGCTTTCTGATCCTGCCTTTCGGAGAGATGACACCTATATAAGTTGGATAGGTTGCATCTGAGCAGATCTGGCACTGAGTTCCTTGCAGGTCACTTTGTTAGTGCTGTTGAAAGGATTTTAAATTAAATTGATAGGGATGTGGGGACCAGGAGAAAACATACAAAAAGGATATCATGGTTCACAAAATACTTGGAGAGACAGGTAACACTATATTAATAGGTGAAGTCAGAACATAGGAGAAAATAATGAACTCTAAATCACACTGTACATATACGTGAATGTGCAAAATATATTTAATAAGATTGGGAAGTTACAGATGCAGAATGTCATGTGGAAATGTGATATGACAATAACAGAGACCTGGCTCAAGGAATGGCAGAACTAGGTATTAAATATTCTTGAGTATAAGATGTTCAGAAAGGGCAGAAAAAGAGGGGAAACAGTATGTTTTAAGGGGAGCAATGCAGTACTGGAAAAAGAGGATGTCCCAACAGTTTTAACGACAGAATCAATTTGGCTAGAACTGTGGAATAAACAAGGACCTAGATCGAGCCTATAGACCACCAACCAGTAGGAGGGATCCAGAGAAAAATTCTGTAAAATAAAATTACATAAAGAAAACACCATTATAGTGTAGTTTTATTTTTGGGCATTTAATTAGCCAAATGTAGACTGTAAGGAGCAGTGAGCATAAATCATGTTTAGATGCATTTTCTATAGCAGTATATCAACAGTCCAACAAGGAAGGATGCACTGTTGGAGCTGGTTGTAGGAAATAAGTTGGGCCAAATAGATCAAGTGATAGTGGGGCAGCATTTAGGAGACAATGATTGTCGCATCCTAAGGGGTAGGATGATGATGGAGAATGCCACTGGTCATTTCAGATATAGGAAAGGCAATTGGCAGAGCATGGACTTCAATGGGTCAAGAACAGAGCTGGGCCAGATAGACTGAAATGTGAGATTAATGGAAAAATCTGTAACTGAGCGACGGGATACCTTCAAAGAGGAAATTGTTCAGGTACAGTCAAGGTATGACCCCTTAAAAGGGAAAGGTAGGACAAAAGATGAGAAAGGAAACAGAAATTAAGATAAAGCAGAAAAGATGTACTTATGACAGGTATCAGGTAGAACAGAAGGTTTACAGGGAAGGTGCTAAGATGACTTATGAGAAAAGGCTGGCAGCCAACATAAAGGCAATCCCGAAGTCTTCTGTACAAACAGTAAAGAGAGTGGGAAATTGAGGAGTAGAGACGATTAGGAGCCAAAAAAAGGAGATTTATACGTGGAAGTGAAGGCATGCTAAGGTGGGAAATTAATATGTTGTATCTGCCTTCACCAAGGAGGGAAATGCTACCCAGACCATTAAGGTAGATGAGGAAAATCTGTCACCACAAGGTGCAAAATTGAAAAGGAGGATGTGTTGGATAGACTGTTAGTATTTAAAGTTGACAAGACATGAGAACAGGATGAGTTACATCCAAGGATATTGAGGGTTGTGAAAGTGGAGATTACAGGAGCATAGTCCACCATTTTTCACTCTTCCCTAGGCTCAGGGGAAGTGCCAGAAAACTGAAGAATTGTAAATATCATGCCCTTTCAAAAAAAAACATTTTCAAGAATAGGCACAGCAATTACAAGCCAATCTTTTAATTTCAATAGTGAGGAAGCTTCTAGAAACAAGTCTTCATGATTGGATTAATTCTTGCATGGAAAAGGAAGAGTCAGCATGGAGTTTGAAAAGGGAAATCATATTTAACTGACTTGTTGGAGTTCTTTGAAGAGGTAACAGAAAGGGTTGTTGAGGGTAATGTTATTGATGTTGTTTTTGGGCAGCACGGTGGCTCAGTGGTTAGTACTGCTCCCTCACAGAGACAGGGACCCGGGTTTGACTCTAGCCTTGGGTGACTGTCTGTGTGGAGATTGCATGTTCTCCTTGTGTCTGCATGGGTTTCTCTTCCGGGCCCTCTGCTTTCCTCCCACAGTCCAAGATGTGCAGTGGGTGGATTGGCCATGCCAAATTGCCCATAGTGTCCAGGGATGTACAAATTAGATGGATTAGCCATGGAAAATGTGAGGTTATAGCATACAGGAGGGGGCTAGATCTGGGTGGGATGCTCTTTGGAGGCTTGGTGCTGACTCAGTGGGCTGAATGGCCTCTTCCACACCATATGGGTTCTTTGAATCTATGTGGTATACATGGATTTCCAACAAGGCATTTAATACACTGCCATACAAACTTGAGAGAAAATATAAAATTCATGGCTAAAAGGGACAGTAGTGATGTGAAGAAAGAAACTGGCTGAATGATAGGAATCAGAGAGCTACAGTCAATGGGTACACTTCAGGCTCTTGGAAGGTTTTATACCAGACCTCAGTCACAGTTGGTATTGGGACCCATGCTTTACCTGATTATATATTCAGGATATAGATCCTGGTATGCAGGGGATTGTTTCAAAGTTTGCGTGAGAGGCAAACTTGGAAGCATTTTAAACAGTGAGGAGAACAATGCAGAACTTCAAAAGCAATAGACAAGCTGGTGAAGTGGACAGATAAATGACAGATGAAGTTCAACGCAAAGAATTACGATGTGGTACATCTTTGTGAAATGGACATGGGCAGACAGGATAAAATAAAATGTACAATTCTAAAGGACTTGCAGGAGTAAAGAGACCTGTCTGTAAATATAAATCATTGAAAGTGGTAGGACAGATGGAAAAAGCAGTTAGTAAAACATACATTATCTTGGACTTTATTACTGGGGGAATAGCGTACATATGTGCAAGGATGTTATGCTTCACCTGTATAAAACACTTGATACAGCTCTGCTGGAGTATTGTGTATAGTTCTGGGTGATATACTACAGGAAGGCTGCGAAGGCATTGGACATCACACAGAAGAGGTTTACAAGAACAGTTGCAAGGAAGAGAAACTTCAGTTATGACGATGGCTTTGAGTGGTAGGCTTATTCTCCTTGGAGAGTAGAAGGTTGAGAGAGTATATGATAGTTTACAAAATAATGAGATGGCTATGCTGAATGGATAGGGAGAAACTGTTCCCATCTCATAAAAGGATCAAGAATGAGATAGCGATTTGCAAAAGCAGCAAATGTGAGATGTGGAGAGAATATCTTCACACAATTTAGGTCTGAACGTACTGCCAGGACGTATCATGGGGACAGTTTCAACTGAGGCATTTAAGAGAGCTTGAGATTGTTTTCATTCAAATAATGTGCAAGGGCATGGTGGAAGAGGCAGAAGAAAGACACTGAGTTATGACACTGATTTGGAATGAGAGGCTGAATGGCCTCTTCCTGTGCTGTAGCAATGCTGGTGATTCTATGACGTGCCATACATTGAAATTATGTTACGTAATACATCTGCAATCTCCGTGACGCAATGGTTTTACATTTATTTTCAGGGCCCACAAGGTCCACGTGGTAATAAAGGTGAAGATGGACAGCCTGGAAGCAATGGTATCAAGGGTCATCGGGGATTCCCTGGTGCACCAGGACTGCCAGGCCCTCCTGTAAGTATCTTGTACATCTGTGACTTCTGGACTAAATACAAGAGAAAGTAATGTGCTGCAGGCTCCCTGCACTTAACACACTTAAAAACAGCAGCACATCAATCAAGGGAAAATCTGTTATCACAGGTATAGACCATCTTACCTAATAGATCTTCTAATTTGGTGGAGTAATTTATTTTGGTCGTTCCTAAGCATGGAGTAGCATAATATATCACTTCTGAGGAGGAGAAGAAAAACAAAAATAGACACCACCTTCCTAAAATATTCTTGTGTGTGAGCTCACAGCAACTCAAATGTTATTTGTAGAATCTGGATGTTTGCAAAATTAATATTTTGTTTGCAAAGAAAGTGGTGGGTTTACTTCATAATTCACCAGTCAAAATACACATGTTTCAGAGAAATACAATGTGCTGCACATATTAGTGGAAGTTTTTCAATCTGAGAGAAATGGTAGTAATAGGATTTAAGGCTATCTGTTGGGAGATGTGATTGAACAAGAGTACTGATTCAGGAAATTGAATGTGAATCCACATCAGTTGAAGTTACAATAATCTTACTGCTATTGAGTTTTTTCAGCTACTGTTGCCTTTAATTAGGAAACATTCCTTTTGGCTTAACTGATAAACCTCATGGAAAGGAAAAAAAAACATAAGGAGAGTTTCTTTCTCTGAATGAGCCTGTCTTCATGCTGGATGATGGTGCTGTACAGAGCAACCATTGTTTGACAAGGACACGAATGTTCCTCCCACACTTTCAACAAGGGTGAGGGTAATTCTATGCTGGAACCCTGTGCAAAATTCAATTGGATTGTGCTGCAGCCCTCTGCAATTCTCCTTACACCTACCATTGCTGGGACCTCTACTGGCAACTCCTTCCCTGTTCATATATATTATTCATGGAGGGGTGGGTCAAGCACAAGTGTCCTGAGCAGATTTCCCCCTTTTATGCTCCATTTGTGAACTCCTCCCAGAAAAGAGGAACCGAGAAACGGAGCAGATGAAGAGGGATTTGGAGCTGCATCTACACCTTCCCTTTTCCTACTTTGCTCAATTTAGCTTGATGGGAGAGTAGGAGAGCAATAACAGAAGTTAAACAGATGTGGTGAGGTCTCTTATGGATGACTCGTGAACTCAGCCAGCTGGCTGCCTTTCTGGCAGTGGAGGCCAAAGGCATTTTGACTCTTCATTTACTATTTAATTCAGATGACAGCTGCAGAAGCCAAATAGATGTGATACAGCTCTGTAGACTTGGGACATGCAATATTCAAATCAAATCATGATATGGCTGAGGAGGGTTTCAATTGGACCATCAAATCTGAACCGGCTATCCAACTTGTCCCACACTCATGGCCTTTCCCTATATTCTTCTAAGTTTCTCCCTTTCTCCTCAAAAGTTAATGATAATCTGTCTCCACCGTCATTTTAAGCAATGCAGATTCTAATAACTTGCTGGATAAAATCAAATATAATTCAACATGTTTTGACTTTTTGCAATATATTTCAAGACTGACACTTTTGCCACTGTAAACAGTTGTTGCTTCTTTATTCTAGCAAACAGAAGACAATGTTGAACACCTCTATTGAATGTCTCCTGAACCTACTCTGCTCTAAAGAAAATAATCCCAGATCTTCCAGTCTCCCCATGTAATTAGTGTCTTTTGTCTCTTGTGCCAGTCTAAACAAAATCTTCTCTGGACATATTCTAAAAGTTCTTCCTAAATTGTGTTGCCAAGGATTGAACACAATGTCCCAGCTAGGTGCTAGCTAATTTAAATAAAGTAATCACTAGAACCTCATTGTATTGTACTGAATGCCTCCATTTATAAAGCTAAGAATCCCCTTCTTATTTTTAAGACTGGCAAAGCTGCCCATTACTTCCAAAGAAGTGTATCTGGGCCCTCTATGCCTGCACCTTCTGTAGAATTCACTCACCCCATAAAATGTATTGTTTCACATTTCTTTATGTTATGTTTTTATGTCTGTATATGCTATTGTGACGTCTATTATTGTTCTCCTCTCTACTTATTACATTTTTGTGTCATATTCAAATTTTAAAGTGCTCTGGTTTACTCCTTATTGTTGCTGTAAAAAGTCAAATTATTTCATTCTCTCCAGGGGATTTCTGGGGAACCAGGCCCTCCTGGACATGCTGGAGCTCAAGGTGCAAGAGTGAGTAAAAGGGAACACTACTGTAAAACTTCATAAAACTCAAATACTGTCTTTCTAATCTCTTACCTACATAGATCTTGAGTATCATATGAATATAGGCAGACAGATAATTTCACTAATATGAAGGCTATCAGCTAAATTATGCATAGTTTGGCAAAAATAAATTATCTGTTAGGATTTTACCAACCTTGGGCAATGCTTTGGGAGACTGTCAGGCAACTTCTAACATTGGGATTGGCCGTGTCTCAATTGCCTGCTATCTAGGGATGTGTGGCAAATGTGAATATTTAAAGGCTCTTGAAGCCTATTTTTTTTTCCAGAATATCAACATTTTGCAAGTGGTGAAACAACTCCCTGTCAGTTACATGGGCAGGGGGACAATGTTGGAGTCTCGGCCTATGGCAAAGGAGCTGCAAAAAAAAAACAACTCTGCCACCCATGTCAAGTCATCTAAAAATGGAGGTGCCTGAGATGGCTCTTGGTTCCTTACTGGCATTGCAATGCAACACACAGACACTGGTCTTCAAAACTCTGGATAGTTGGAGACCAGATGTATCCTGACACTTGTGCATTTGGACACGTGGAGTCATACAGCATGGAAACATGGCCTTTGGTCCAACCGGTCCATGCCAACTAGACATCCCAATCTGACCTAGTCCCATTTACCACCATTTGGCCCATATCCATCTAAACCTTTCCCATTCATATATCCATCCAGCTGCCTTTTAAATATTGTCATTGTAGCTGCCTCCACAACTTCCTCTGGCAGCTCATTCCATACACGCACCACCGTCTGTGCAAAAAAGTTGCCCCTTGGGTCCCTTCTAAATTTTACTCCTCTCACCTTAAACCTATGCCCTCTAGTTTTGGACTCCCCAACCAAGAGGAAAGGACCTTTGCTGTTTACCCTATGCATGCCCCTCATGATTTTATAAACCTCTATAAGGTCACCCCTGACCCCTAAAGCTCCAGGGAAAAAAGCCTCAACCTAATCAGCCTCTTTCTATAACTCAAACCCTCCAATCCTGGCAACACCATTGTATATCTTTTCTCACCCTCTCAGGTTTAACAATATCTTTCCTATAGAAGGGTGACCAGAATTGTATGCAGTATTCTAAAAGTGGCCTCACCAATATCCGGTACAAACGCAACATGACATCCTAACACCTATATACAATGCACTGAACAATAAAGGCAAGCGTGCCAAATGCCTTCTTCACCACCCTGTCTACCTGTGACTCCACATTCAAGGTACTCTGCACGTGCACCCCTAGGTCTCTTTGTTCAGCAACACTCCCCAGGGCCCTACCATTAACTGTGTAAGTCCTGCCCTGGGTTGCCTTACTATAATGTTATCAGTTTATCTCAATTAATCTCCATCTTCCATTCCTCGGCCTATTGACCCATCTGGTAAAGGTCCCATTGTACTCTGAGATAACCTTTTTCACTGTCCACTACACCACCTATTTTGGTGTCATCTGCAAACTTACTAACCATAACTTGGAAGTGCCAACCCACTAACTGTGCAGTGATTACCCAAGAAGTTTTAACTTCAAATGGACAATCACCCAGTGTCTGGTACCATCAAAACAGGTTTCCAAACTCACGTACTTCAATAATTAGCCAGGAAATGTGAGAGGATTAAAACTTGCTCCAAGTCCTAGGTAGATATCCTATTGAGCCCTCAACTCTCACCAATCCCAAAACATTTATGCAACCACATATTTCCATCACTCTCACTGACAATTGTTCCTTCCCAATGCTTCCAGGTGTCTGACCAATCCCCCTCCACACATGGGACAGTAGAATCCTTTACCCCCTTACCCACACTGTCTCCTGCCAACAGGTTGTCAGCTTTTTCAACTCAATATATTTTCTGTAGCAGACTTCATGGTATTCCTTCAGGACTCCCCTGCATTGCTTGGCTGTCCTGAGAATGAGATGGATAGAATTTTTTCTGCATTGCACTTATTTTTCAGATGTTCTCAGACTGTCAGTCTATGCCCAAAGCACACAAAAATAAGTATCAGCCCCATTACCTAACTCGTGGAACCCACAGTTTAGTTGTCCTGGTAGGACACCTAAGACAAGCATTTAAATATATTGTTGAGTGGCCAAATACCTGGTGAAGGATTTATTTTCGAAATCAATCATCCAGGATCAAGGAGTGTTCTTCATTGAGTGTATGTACAGCAACCAACAATAAGTCAGAAGAATGTTTTTCTGTGAAGACAGGGCTTCTGTCATTTACAGACAAATAGAGTTTTGCACATGAACTTATTTAATTCCATTTTAAATATTTTAAGGGTCCTCCAGGTTCAGCTGGTCCCCCTGGCAAAGTGGGTACCAACGGTTATCCAGGCCCTATTGGTCCTACTGGTCCACGCGGTTTACGAGGAGAATCTGGCCCCAGTGTAAGTAAACAGCAAAGACCTGACTTAATGGAGCAGAAGATTGGAAACTTAACATTTCTGGCCTCTCATTCATCAGTGAAGATACAGTAGAAAAGGGGGTGACAGGCAGTGTAATGATCAAATAAACTATTGTAGCATGTAGTTGAGGATGTAAAGATAAAGTCTATTTCTTTATAGTGAAAGAAAAAAAATACAGTGGAGCTATTGCGCGGCTGGGTATAAACTAACAGCCACCAATTAATGAGAAGGAGTTAGAATAAGGAATCTGCAGGCAATTTACAGAAATAATTAGTGATATCAAATTAGAGATGTCATAGCAACAGTATAAAGAGCAAAGCCGGTAATGAATTCCTGGAATGTGTACACAGCAATGTGTTCATCAAAGGATAACAAGTGCAGAGCTGGATGAACACAGCAGGCCAAGCAGCATCAGAGGAGCAGAAAAGCTAACGTTTCAGGTCTGGACGCTTCTTCAGAAATGTCTTCATCAATATCTTTTTCTAGCACATAAGAAGAGGATAGCACAGGATGTAGCTCTGGTGAATTAAGTGTAGCAAATGGATCATATTTCAGCAATCACATTTTTTTGTAGGTTTCATATGAGTTGTGGTAAAGAAAAAAGGTACAGTCAACAATAAAAATGCTTAACTGAAGGTAAACTAACTTTAGTGAATCAAGAAGGGATCTGATACAGGTGGAGTTGAATCTAAAATTAGTAGGCACAACTGTAACTAGCCAATGCGAGGCCAAAAAATGTGGAGTTGGTTTGGATACAGAGTTACCAGGAGAAGAAAGAAGGGCATTCAAAACTAGAAATCATCGGATGGGTAAATGTCCAAAGGTGAAAATAAGGCACTAAAATGAGATTTATGACAATGTTCATAGTACAGAGAATTAAACTGAACAGAGGAAGTACAAGTAAAACCTGAAAAAAAGGAAATAAAAGGAAAGGAATGGAAATACAAAGTACACGAAAGTTTCGCTGAATTACCCGCAGGATATATTAGAGGTTATTTCATATTTTGGCAACAAATTCTGTTTTCACCCCAAATGCAAGCATTGAGTTATCAGAGTTTTCTCTTTACTGGCGAAACAAGCTCCAACTTGTTCACCCTTTCCTGAGAAGTATGGTGTGTCAGTTCTAGTCTATTTCTAGTAGATTATTTTTCCACGTTTTCATAGTAATGGAGACCAGAGAGTACACCAAGTATAGTCCATTAACGTTCCCCACAAGTTTCACATAACCCTATTGTTTTTTAAATTCTGTGCCTTTTTAATAAATCGCAGTGCTTTGTTTCTTTTTGTTTTAATTATCATATTAACTTGTGCAATTTGTATCCTCAGGTTTCTCTATTATTTAAAAAATTAGCATCCATCCAACTTGTTATGTATAAAATTCGAAGTAGGCACATAGCTTGACAACACAGAGTGGTGAGCTTGTGAAATTCCTTGCCATAGGAAACTGTTGAAGCTAAAATATCGAAGACTTTCAAAAAGGATTTAGATATAGTTCTTACAGGTAAAGGGATCAAAGGATATGATGAGGAAGCAGGAACAAGGCACTGAGTTGGATGATTAGCCATGATCATACTGAATGATGGAGCAGGCTCAAAGGGCTTAATGAACTTCATCATCTCCTATATGCTATGTTCATGTGTTTCTATACTTTGAACTCTGTAGGGTCGTTCTGGTGATCATGGCCCTCCTGGTATTCCTGGTGCCCCTGGTCCCCCCGGTCCTCCTGGCCCCTGTTGTGGAACAACAGACAGTGTTAATAAAGGCGTAGTGTATCCAGGAAGCTACTACTATGGTGATCAACCTAGTGAACCTGTGAAAGAACAAGAGGTAGAAATAATATCTGCTCTGAAATCCCTCAACAGCCGAGTGGACACAATCCTGATCCCAGATGGATCACAGAAGAGCCCTGCTCGAAGTTGCCGAGATCTAAAATTTTGCCATCCAGAATTCAAGAGCGGTAGGGAAGCTATTTGAGATAATTACATTTCTTTTGTCTTTGGATTAAATTCATTGTAAATTAAAAGTATAAGTTTAGGGACGATATATGAGCAATCACTTGGAACTTGAATATTATTGAAAACAGAGATACATTGTTGAAGCTTTTTGTCTTGATCTTATCAAGGCAAATGCAGGAGTGCCAAAATATAAACCATCACAACAATTCATTTTTCAATAGGGAAAAGTGTTGACTGGTTGGCAAGTCAAATGATTGATCGAGGCATTACACTGAAGAAAGCAACAAGGAACTGATTGAACGAAACAGCATGTCTCTTTGACTGTTAACAATGAACTGAATACAGATCATTCTCCCTTGTTAAATTGTTATTGTCATGTAAAAGCTGACAGTCTTGCATTTGTCTTGAAGAAGAAAAAAAATGTTTCAACAATGTGAATCATTTTTCAATAGTACCTAATGTGTAACATGAACCTACAAGATTATCAGGCAGAAAGTGACTGGGTCATCAAACCTTGCCCACATGATTGTTTAGGTATTTCTTGCCTCCTTCCTTTTGCACCATGCTATCTCACAAGAAAAACAACAGTGCCTACAAGAAGGAAAAGCTTTGAAAAATTCCTCTCAAACTCCTCACGTGATCAAAACCAGACCAAAAGATTGCACAGACTTATTATTATCCAATCTTTAACATTGAGTTTAATTTGCCCATTTGCTCATAATAAAGATTACTTTTCATGTAATTGGTAATTCTAAAATTAAATTGACACAATTTAAAAGCTGAGGTACCTTAATGTTTTAACATTAAAACATTAAGTTAAATCAAAGTTAATATCATTGGCAGTTATCGCATAAAAGGTTCCAAGTTAGTATCATGTTCTCCTGTTACTTAATATAGGTGTTAACAATGAAATAGTTGAGTTAATATCTCCCTTAAAGTATCAAAGGGAAAAATATATTAATCAATAAATTGATAAAGATTATTTATCGTTAAATCTTAACTTTTACTTTGTCCAGACGAATTTCAGAAGTAGACTGTTGAATAATTTTTACAATCCCCATAAAATCATAGAATCCCTACATTGTGGAAGCAGGCCATTTGGTCCATCGAACTCACACTGACCCTCTGAACAGCATCCCACCCAGACCCACCTCTCTACCCTATCCCTCTCATCCTGCATTTCCCATAATAATCCATCTAACCTGCACATCCCTATACGCTATGGGCAATTTAGCATGGCTAGTCCACCTAACCTGCATATCTTTGGACTGTGGGAAGAAACCCACACAGACACAGGCAGACCATGCAAACTCCACACAGACAGTCACCAGAGGTTGGAATCAAACCCGGGTCCCTGGCACTGAGGTAGTAGTGCTAATCACAGAGCCTCTGTGCTGCTGTCTATATAGTGGTCAGAAAGATTTCCGCTTCTACCTTTCACAGTTGTCAAAAGACAAACTTCATATACAGCAAAGCTGATTGGCTAGATCTATGCCTCTAGCAGTGAAGAGACCATTGGCAACACAAATTCTTACTAAGTAAGAGGAGGGATGGAACAGAGTCAACGTTTTTACTTTGTAAGGCAAAAATTTGTCTCTATCTTTCCAAAAAGTTACTCAGCTGTATTTCAGAGATATTTCTGAATAACACAAAAAAATCATGGGATTCAAAGGATTAGATGCTTGTGCTTTTGTGGTACTGGTTACAAGAAGATTACAAGTATAGGCACGTACCAGAACGTCAGAGTAATTATTCCATTTCAGGAAATTATACCTTGCAGCCTTTCGATTTTCCATCAATCAAGTTAATGAACAGAAAAAAATATGGGCTGTCAGAGTGCCATTTCTTAAGCTGTACATCCCAGCATGGTAGGTGGAAAGTGAACAACGTGAATCTATGATTTTCAGAAATTATTAAAAGTTGTTGCAGAATTCTCAACAGATATTTGATGGAACACACTTATTGCTGATCCTTGGGAATGTGGTGCCTAATTTAAATAAGAAAAATAAATTTCAAGGATGGCACATTATAATATATATTACCAGCTTTGTTGTAATCTAAAATTGAACTAACATAAGGACACAACATATGTAGAGAAAATGTTGTATTGTTGTAAATAGTGGATTTTTGGAAGGCTCTCCTCAACCATAGTGAAAGGAAGGCTTGTTGGGCCTCCAAATTGATTCAGATATTTTCAATTCCTCAAATTTTTTTTTCTAATTTGCCTTCAAAGTCAACTTTATGCTCCCAACATTTGCAAGTTTGATTCTCTGCCTTGCAACTGTTGTCCACTGATACAAAAGCAGGATTGTAGAATGTGTGCTGCATCGTGGATTACTTTGTTTGCACCTTTTGGATTCTGTTTACATGTGTCACATTAAACAGTAAAAAGGAACAAAATGAAAGGCATTGCTACTTTTCAAAACATGTTTGAAAAACCATTTTTGTATTAGAGGATTAGAATTTTTATTATTGATATTTAAAAATCCCTGCTAGTAATGCTGAAGTCTTCCAAAGCTGGTTTAATTAAAGGACAAGTAGTCAGAAATTATTTTAATTCGGGCATATGGAACATGATAACAGAATTGCTAAAGGCGTAAGTTTTAGGGAATTTACTAGATAATGTGAGAACTGGAGTAGACTTCAAGAAAGCGTATGCAATTTGGTGAAACGAGGAGACATGTAAGAAATACAATATAATACAGAATAAATTGAATTAATGTGTTTGAGGATGAACAACAAATAATGAGAATAAACACAATGGAAAGTTGCTCAAAGGAGCAGACAAGCAGAGAGACTTGGGAGTTAAATTGGATAAAGCATAAATCAGGTATAATGATCACAGTTTGTAATTACTTCATGTGCATACAAACTGATGAAGGCAATGATAAATATAATGCTGCTTGTGTGAGGTTACCACTAATGAAAACTATCCAGCATCACCTAAAACAAGACTTCAACTATATATGGAATTCACCAGTTTTAAAATCTCCCCACCTCCAGCCTCATCCCATGTCCAAGTCTCCGTCTCATCCCCACCTCCTAGACCTGACACAACCTGTCCATCTTCTCTCCCATAAATTCCTGAAGATGGGTCCTGACCTGAAACATCAGCTTTCCTGCTCCTCTGATGCTGCCTGGCCTGCTGTGTTCCTCCAGCTCCACATTGTGTTATCTCTGACTCCAGCATCAGCAGTTCTTGCTATCTCACCTTCTCTCCCACCTATCTGCCCCACTTATCCCAATGACCAGTCCCCACCACTCCCTACCTGCACTTACCTATCACCTTCCCCAGCCCCACCTCTCCTTTCTCTATTTATTTCTCAGCTCTCTTCCCGCTCCCCATTTCTGAAGAAGGGTCCTGACAAAAAACGTCAACTTTCCTGCTCCTCTAATGCTGCCTGGCCTGCTGTGTTCCTCCAGCTCCACACTGTGCTGTCTCTGACTCCAGCATCTGCAGTTCTTGCTGTTTCTTCAACTCTTAAAAGCAGTTTCATTCTACTGCAGGTCCTGGACATTAAAGTGAATGATCAGGATGAAACTACAAAAATGGTTCACCACGCTAAAGAGCCTTCCCAAATTTCTCAGAGGCAACTTGGAGGTCTTGGTGGAGGAAGTTGATAGCAAGAGAGTGATTCTGTTCCTGCAGCAGGATGGGTGGCACTCTAATTAAATACTGACAAGGCTATGGGGTCAAGTAGCTACACTAGTCAATTCCAGTAATCTGTGCCCAAAGTTGGCATCCTTCCATCTAACTAATATAAGAGATATGAAGCAAATCCATTAGCATTGGGATAGGTTCAAACAAAATGCTTGATAGTTTCAAACCAATCAAGGAAAGGCAGGTTCTTCTACAAGTGCTGTAGATGAGGAGGTTGGTGTCATTGGTGCTGCTGCCTTCTGCATTATTTGCTGTCAAACTGCTGTAACTATTGATCATTGTAACAGTCTGCAGTATCTACAGTTAGTGTGCTAGTCTATAGGTCACGCTGCCATTTCTGTCTGTTACTGACTAATCTCTCCCATATGTGAAAGTTGATATTTCGGACCATCATGGTCCCTTACAGGCTTCCTTCAAAAGGAGCTTTGTGTATCCTACTAGCCTGCAGATAGCTACCTCACCATACAGAACACCTATGGGAATGTGTCCATCTTCCACATGTAAAAGAATGATTTTTATTTCTCTAACATTTTTCATGTCTGCTTAATGGATTACTTTATGAAAAGTAGTCACGGTTGTTATGCAGGAAACTTGGCAACCAATTTTCATGTTGCAAGCTCCTACAAACAACAAAATGGAAATAAACAGATCATCTAGTTTTGTGATGTTGATTGTGAGATAAATATTGACCAAATCATTGATGATCAACAGATTAATTTACCTGGCTTGCTATTTCTGCAGGCTTTTCAAGCACCACATAACTACCTATTTAAGCCCAACTGTGTTTTTTATAGCTTCAGTTCTTCTTTAAACAAACATGAGTAACCTTCTGATTGATTGATTTATTTATTGTCACATGAATCAGAGAACAGTGAAAAGCTTTGTGTACGAGTGGTACAGGCAGATCATAGTAAGCAAGGATGTACAGATCAAAGGTTGTAAGTAAACTTAGAAAGAGGTATACAGGTTACATTGCACACGGCATGCTCTAGGTGAGGGCAACGTTAACAAGATCGGCATTATTTGTGGCTAGGGAGTCCATTCATCAGCCTAATAATGGCTGGGAAGAAGCTGTTCCTGAACCTGCTCGTGTGTGTGTGTTCAGGTTTATGTATCTTCTGCCTGACGGAAGAGGTTGTAGGAGGTCATTACCAGGGTACGATGAGTCTTTGATAATATTGGCCACCTTTCTGCAGCAGCAAGCCGTGTAAATAGAGTCCATGGATGGAAGGTTAGCTTTTGTGATGGTCTGGGCTGTGCTCACCACCTTCTGTAGTTTCTTACAGTTCTAGGCAGGGCAGTTGCCGTACCAGGCCATTATGCACCCAGACAGTATGCTTTCAGTGGTGCATCTGTAGAGGTTTGTGGGGGTTTCCTGAGCTGCCTGAGGAAGGGGAGGTGTTGTTGTGCCTTCTTGACCATCGCATCTACATGGTAAGTCCAAGACAGATTGTCAGTTATCGTCAGTCTGAGGAACATGTCACTCTCCACCCTCTCAACCTCAGTTCCATTGATGTAGATGGGGGCATGTTCTCCTTTCTTTCTGAAGTCAATGATCAGTTCTTTAGTTTCGCCAACATTGAGAGACAGATTGTTTTCATTGCACCATGTCACCAAGCCTTCTATCTCCCTTCTGTAGTGTGACTCAATGTTGTTAGATGTCCATCCTTCCACGGTGTCGTCAGCAAACTTATGGATGGCATTCGTTTGGAATTTGGCGATAAAGTCATAGGTGTACAGGGAGTACAGTAGGGAGCTGAGGACATATCATTGGGGGGCCCCAGTGTTGAGTATTTTTATGGAGGAGATTCAATTGTCTCTATCCTCACTGATTGCAGTCTGTGGGTCTGAAAGCTGAGGATCCAGTTGCAGAGGGTGGAGCTGAGACCCAGGTCATGGAGTTTTGAGGTCAGCCCGGAGGGAATAATGGTATTGAAGGCGGAGCTGTAGTCAATGAGCAGGAGTCTGACGTAGGTGTCTTTGATGTCCAGATGTTCCAGGGATGATTGCAGGGCTAGGGATGTGGCACCGAATGTGGACCTGTTACATCGGTAGGCAAATTGTAGGGGATTGAGGAAGGCTGGGAGAGTGGAGTTGATGTGGGCCATGACCAGCCTCTCGAAGCACTTCATGATTATTGAGGTGAGAGCCACTGGGCAGTAGTCAGTAAGGCACATTGCATGTGTTTTCTTAGGTACAGGGATGATAAACTCCCATTTGATTTAGGTATTCTGGCAACTACCAAGTCCAGCATTTTGATTACCATACCTTCCATTTGTTAATTCCTTAAAGCAATATGACACCAATCTTTAAAATGCACTGAACTGTAAGTTCCTTTAATTGCGTTGGTCACATTTTCTGAAGTTAAACCTGAGTTAAAGACTTGCATCATGAACAAAATATTCACATGTGCCTGCTTTAGCTGAATAGCTGAAATGTACATGTGAGTCTTAAGTATTAATAAGTATAGAAGAATGTTACGCATGAGCCAAATTGCTGATAAATGGTTAATGTAGCCTGGTGCATTAAGCAGTGTGAAAATTTACATTTCTTGCTCAGCTACACGCCATAACTGTTAAGGTAAATAGGTACAAACAATCCATCCAAGTGTGACAATTTGTTTCTCCAATGTAATGAAAGTTCTGCATATTAAACCTGACTGGTAGATCAGTGTGAGAATTTTGCTTTGTCATCACTATTTTAGGAGAGTACTGGATTGATCCCAAGCAAGGCTGCAAATTGGATGCCATCAAAGTACATTGCAACATGGAGACTGGAGAGACCTGTGTGCCTTCCAACCCCAGCAATATTCCACGCAAGAACTGGTGGACAAGCAAAAACAGTCAGCGAAAGAAACATGTGTGGTTTGGAGAATCCATGGATGGTGGATTCCATGTATGTTTTTTTTGGCTATTAGGAAATAATGTAAACCAAAAGCATGAGACAAGAAAACTGAAAAAAATGTTAAAATATGTTTAATTATCCACCATAAGACAATTGTTCAATGTTAAACAAATTGGAGATAACAAGTTGTAGAGCTGGATGAACACAGCAGGCCATGCAGCATCAGAGGAGCAGGAAGGCTGATGTTTCGGGTCTAGACCCTTCTTCAGAAACAAATTGGAGTTCACTCTTCTTTGACTTTGTAGCCTAGATTTTATGATTTGATCTTCAACTCCTGTAATTTTTTTGAAACATTTTAAAACGTATGATTATTATTTTTATATCAGTGCAGACCAAACTACTGTAGTTTTTCTACAGTTACATACAATTTCTTTGGGCGGCCTGGTGGTACACGATTTAAAACCAGAATTCGTACTTAAATTCCTGTATCCAATGGAGACGTCACCATTACGACAAAGGTGGGGGCTAGTATCACAAAATGTGCTCTGATTGACACAGCAGCAGGTTTTGCATAACAGGAAAGGAAATCAGGCACAGTGCTGACTCTCCCTGAACCTGTTTTACAATACTGATGTGAACCATTTTTGTGTTATCGAGTACTTAGAATTTGCATTGCTGATAAGACAGTTAGCAGTTGTGTTCTCTATAATGATGGACAAACAGGAGGGTAGAAGAACACAGCAAGCCAGACAACATCTGGAGGAAAGGAGCAGTATGTTATCTGGCTTACTGTGTTCTTCTACCCTCCTGTTTGTCTACCTTGGATTCCAGCATCTGTAGTTTTTTTTTGTCTCTAACCAAGTATTCTTTATAATGCTCTTTGTAGTTATAGCAGAGGTTCTAAATAAAGGACCATTAACACCTTAAGTGCACTGGGAGTGGCCAATGACACCAGTATCATGAGAATGATTAAATAACAGAAATATCCCTTCATTATAATTGAATGAATTCAATGAATAAATCTATTTCTGCAGTTTAGCTATGGTGTCAATGCGCTATCAGAAGATACTGTTGAAATTCAAATCGGATTCCTTCGCCTGCTTTCCACTCGAGCATCCCAGAATATCACCTACCACTGTAAGAACAGTATTGCCTACCTGGATGCTGAGACTGGAAATGTGAAGAAAGCTTTGAGGCTGATGAGTTGGGTCGATGTGGAGCTCAGAGCTGAAGGAAACAGCAGATTCACATATAACGTCCTTGAAGATGGTTGTACCGTAAGTAGCAAAAAGATATTCATGCGAAATATATGTAAGAATAGGCCATTCAGCCCATTGGTCGTGACTGGTCTAATTGTGGTATTAACTCCATCGAGCTGTCTGTCCCCAAACACTTAATTTGTGATCATCAAAAATCTCTGCCATGGAAATATTCATGATCCAGCTTCTGCTATGCTATGTGGAATAGAATTCTAAAGTTATGACCTTCAAAGAAAATAATTTCTCCTTCATCTTTGTTTTAAATAGGAGACATATCCTTTTTGCATTTACCCTGTTGAATCCTCTCCGATTCTTATATAATTAATTAGGATCAACCTAATTGCTGAACCTGCATGCTAACTCTTTTTGATGCACATTCAAGGAGACACAGCATTCTGTAATCTCTCTCCATTTAAATAGCATATTTTTCTATTCTTCCTGCCAAATTGGGCAACCTTTTCCCCACATTGCACTCATAGTCCAAATATTTGTCCATTCACTTCACTTGTGTACATCTTTTTGCAGACTCATTGTATCCTCCTTATGACTTGCTTACTGATCAATCTTTATATATTCAGCAGAGCTGTTCCAATATAGTCAGCCCCTTTATCCCAAGTCATTAAAATATATAATAAATGCTCAAAGCACCAGCATAAATCCCTGTGACACCCACACATTGCAATTTGTGAACCTGAAAATGATCTATTTATCACAATTCTCTATTCCCTGTTGGTTAGCCAGTCCTGCACATGCTGAAAAATCATCATAAACACCATAATAATCTCATAATCTGCAGCATCCTTTTATGTGGTGCCTTATCAATACCTCTTGAAAATCCAAATCTATGTCCTTGTCCATCATCCTATTACATCGTCAATAAACTTTAACAATTTTGTCCAAAATAATTTCCCTTTCATAGCATCTGCTGATTCTTCTTGATTTTATCATAATTTTCTAAGTATCCTGTTACTACTTGTGTAATAAAGAATTTTAGTGTTTTCCCCAGAACAGGTATTTAGCTAACTGGAATGAAGTTTCAGCTTTATGTCTTCCTCCTTTCTTGCATAGAATTGTTACTTTTGAAGATTTCCTATTGACTGAGGTATTCTCAGTGTCTGGAAATTTTGGAGGGATTATTATCCACTTTTACTGGACAACTTCTCTTACAATTTTTGATTTTAGTGTGAAGGCCATCATATCCAAAGAACACTTAATTCCCCATCAGTCTTCTAGTATATTTTCCCTAGTGATCATGATTGTTTTAATTCCTCGCAGACCCGCCCTCCCCCAAACACACACACTTGCTTTCTACCGTTCTTCGGATGCCTTTTGTGTCTTCCACTGTGAAGACAGATACAAAATAGTTGTTCTAAGTCTTTATTATTTTGTTGTTTCCTCAGTCTCACTCCTAATGGACAAATGCTCATTTTCATTCCTCTTTCTCCTTTGATATATTAGCAGAAGCTTTTGATAGTTTTCTATTGTGCTCCCACTTTTCTCTTTTTTTAAAATCATCTTTTAAGTTTCTAAAATGTGCCCGACCATCATCAGGCTTATCACTAATCTTTACAGCAGTGTACACTTTCTTTCTGCTTGATATCATCCTGAACTTCCTTAGTTAGCCACAAATGATGTATCCTTCTCATCATGCCTTTCTTTCTGGAAGGAATTTTCCTGTGTTGAAAATTATAAAATATTTCCCCAAATGTTTACCCTGTAACCTATTTTTCCCCTTCCAGATTTTTCAACACTAAAATAAAACAAATAACAGTGGTTGCTGGAGATCTGAAACAAAAACAGAAATTGCTAGCAAAATTCAGCACATCTGGCCACATCTGTGAGGAGAAAGAGTTAACGTTTCAAATCTGGTTCTGAAGAAGAGTCACTGGACCCGAAACGTTAACCCTGCTTTCTCCCCCACAGATGTTGCCAGGTCTGCTGAGTTTTGCCAAAATATTCGGTTTTTGTTGTAGTTTTTCCAACTCTGTTTTCATATATTTTTAATGTCTTTATTTAAGCATAAAACTCTAGTTTCAGATCTACATTTCTTACTGTCAAACTGAGTGTGATTACTCTTATTAAGCAGATCCTTAATTAAGAAGTTGTAAATGAATCTTGTCTCAATACAGGTTGCTAAGTGTAAAACAGACTCTCTTATTTAATTGCAGAATGTGTTCTACAAAATTGTCCAAAATTCACTGTATGAACTCTTCTCCAGGTGACATTTGCCAATTTGATGTACAGGTTAGGTGGATTGATGATGCTAAATTGCCCCATAATGTCCAGTGAAGTGCAGGTTATGTGAATTAGCCGTGGTAAATGCACTGATGGGGCGAGTCTGGGTGGGATGGTGTAGAATCAATGGGCCAAATGGCTTCTTTCTGCACTGTAGGGATTCTGTGATTTAATTCTATTCTATTCTACATATCTGACCAAATATTAAAATCTCTCATTATTATTGCAATACATTTCTTAAAAGCCCCTATTATTTTTTGATTTATATCCTATCCTACAGTATAGAAACTATCAGGGGGCAACAAATTACTCCCAGTGACTAATTCCCTTTAATAATTTGAATCTCCGCCAAACCTAATTCCACATCTTGATCTCTCACCTAAGATTATTTCTCACTGAAAGTAAAAGTGTCTTAGTTCCAAAAGAACATAGGCTTTTCTCTCATCAGAGAAAAGCCTATGAGTTTAACATAATATTCACCATGCATCAGGTCACGGGCAAGTTTGAGAAGTGGGGCCTTCATGGAAATCTCAGCTGGTAAGAGAAATGAACCTGAACTGTTGGGTTCACTTTGTATTGAAAATCCAGCTAACTGTACTGATTTTAGATGCTGAATAGGCTGGGGCTATTTTCCCTGGAGCATCAGAGGCTGAGGGGTGACCTTATAGAGGTTTATAAAATCATGAGGGGCATGGATAGGGTGAATAGTCAAGACTTTCTTCCCAGAGTAGGGAAGACCAAAATTACAGGGCGTAGGTTTAAGGTGAGAGGGGAAAGATTTAAAAGGGACCTAAGGGGCAATTGTTTCACACAGAGGGTGGTGAGTGAATTGAATAAGCTAGCAAAGGACGTGATAGAGGCTGATGCAGTTACAACATTTAAAACATCTGAATGGGTATATGAATAGGAAAGGTTTAGGGGGATATGGGCCAATTACTGTCAAATGGGACTAGATCAGTTTAGGATATCAGTTAGTGGGTGGCGTGGTGGCTCAATGGTTAGCACTGCTGGGCCTTGGCCTGAAACATCGACTCTCCTGCTCCTCTGATGCTGCCTGGCCTGCTGTGTTCCTCCAGCTCCACATGGTATTGGCTCTAACTCCAGCATCTGCAGTTCTTGCTATCTGTCAAATCATTTTGAATATCCTTGTCCACCCATGGTAATTATGACTCTGTAATTGCTGTAGAAAACTCATTTATTTCTATTTCTGCTATCAATTCATCAATCTTGTTATGAATATTCTGTGCGTTTAGGAAAAGGGCCTTTAATTTTGACATTTTACCCTGTTTATCAGCACCAAACTTTGTTACCAGTGCATTATGATGCTCGCACACTCACAAACAAGGGGAGAATGTACAAACTCCACACAGATAGTCGCTGGAGGTTGGAATCATACCCAGGTCCCTGGTGCTGTGAGGCAGCAGTGCTAACGATTGAGCCACCATGCTGCCCCCATGGTGGCAGGTGAAACATGAATCACCTGCAGCATACCAGCTAGTGCCTGAGGCAGCACAGATGTGATAGGTTCTGATAGGTACCTCCCTGTTACACACTGGTCATCTTGACTTGTATTGCTATGCTGCACTACTGCGTTATTCTCCCTGTTCAACTTGCAAACTTTCTCCTCCTATAAGCCCTCTGAACTCCCACTGTTTAATTTAAAGCTCTGTCTACAGTCTTAGTTCTACAATTCATCAGGATACTTGGATCAGAGTTGTCTTGCTGAAAGCCATCCCAACAATTCATCTCCATTTTTTCCGAGTACTGATGCCATTGTCCTATGAATCAAAACGCATTTCTCCTTCACCAGTCAATGAGCAATATATTTCATTCTTTGTTCCTATTTACCATTGCCAATTTGGCTAGTGACTTTGTGGTTTTATGTTTAATATTAGCCCTTAGCTGCTTGTACTCCCTGAGCAGATTGTCTTTCTTAGTCCTGCCAATGTTGATGGTACAGACATGGAACATGACAACTGATTCCTAGACACCACGCACCCCCACCCCGCTAAAAAAAAGCTGCAAGTTCCTCTCCGACACAGAAAAAATGTTTTTGACCCTGGTATCACTCAGGCAACACAGCCTTTAGACCTCATGCTGAATGCTGCAAGGAATCATATCCATCCCCCTAACTATAGTTTGCTATCAAAACCAACCTTGGAGGTCTGTGCAGCCAGGAAAAAGAGGGAATGTTGATGACATGTACATTATTCCTTTTTACTCCATCCATCTAATGTGCCCTTTTGTTTTGTTTTGCAAATGCAGGAACAGACCGATTTAAACCAATTAATTTTGAATACTGTCAGTCATTCATTCTAACTAATATGATTTATGTCAACCATGTAGTTTATGAGATGAAACTAAAAGCTTTATTTCTGTTTGCTCGTAGAGGCATACAGGAAATTGGAGCAAAACTGTCTTTGAGTATAGAACACGGAAGAGTCTTCGTCTGCCCGTTGTGGATATTGCACCTATGGATATTGGTGCTGAGCACCAGGAATTTGGTGTTGATATTGGACCTGTCTGCTTCTTGTAAATTTCAAGATCCATTTGAAAACAATCTTTATCAGTGCTTAAATAAAACCGGACACGGGCTAACTAATTTCCATACTGCACTTATCCACATGCTTATATTTTGGACCTCCCAGGTGGAAATAATGTCCAAATCACTGCTCATCATTTTGATATAAGTTATAGAAAATACCAAGATGGAATATGCGTAACAAGATAATTTTTCCACTCAAGTGTTCAAACAATGACTTTTCTTTGGTGCCTAACACTGGGGTGAAATCAAGAAACATAATTCAAGTGCTGAACGTTCCCAACATCAAATTTAACTCACCTTTCTTACCAAGATGAAAATCAATACGTGCAGAACGTGCCCAGTTTCAACTACCTCATCATGGACAGAGACTGGGATGTGTTTGATATTCCCACGGAAATGTTGCACTAGTCTTTTAAAGTCTCAAACTCTGAGCTTTCCAGAAGCAATAAATTTAGGGATGATTCAAGGACAAGTGCTTCGTATGAACAATAAAGATATAATTGAAACTGCCGGTAGACCAAAGTAAACTAAATGTACTAAGTGCCCTGCATTCACTATATGTGTTCAACTAATTATTCATTGGTGCTTGTGTTCTTGAGTCTGGTTTTGTCTTTAAATTGGTGCTATTTTAAGTACAGACTTTCTCAAGTTTTTTACTCCTTTATAATTTCTAATTTTTGCTGCAAAGTCATTTCATTGGCTGTTCAACGATGCATTCCTTTTGCATATATACATTTATTGTTCAGTGCTAAGTCATCATCACTTTATCAGCTTGATGATTACTTTTTGTCATTCATATTTCTAAAATTCAGCAAGTGGATAAAGGATATTAAAGATTCCATTGACTTACTTGCAGAGTTATCAGTTTGTTGCTAGGCGAAGTCAGGTTTTTCTTTCCTGTAATGGTATTTGAATGCTTATTTGTCACAAAAAAAAAATAAAATGTACTGAAAAATTACTTGTTTTCATTTTTCTATTTTAAACTGGGCAACACTGGGATGGTATGACAACAATATACTGTCGGTACAGCTGGGTTGGATATTCGGAAAAATAGCAGAAAGTAAAAATAGCTTTTGGCAGTGTGTGTTACTAAATCATATCAGAAAGGATTTGTAACCACATCCTTGAGTCACATTATCGTCTATACATAAATTCAATTTAGGCAGGAAAATTTTCCAAAGTGCTTCACAGGAGTGCAATCAGGTATCAAGCCAGAAAAAGCTATTATGAGCAACGATTAAAAGCTTGTTCAATCTGGTAGGTTTAAAAGAGAGGCTTAAAGAACCAAACATGTACAGTGATTTAAGGTGGGAATTCCAGAATTTTGATGCAACAATATACACAAGAGACCAGAATTGGAGGACACTGGGTTCTTAGAGGCTGAGTACTAGAGGAGATTACAGAGTTAGGGAAGAGTGATGAGAGCCATTCCAGGTCAGGAAGTACATTTATCATTGTAGCGTCATAAGATCTTTCCTTCTGATTGATTCAGTGTAAATCTGTTGTATGGTTTGGAGCTTCATGCAGAATTTTGTGGTGGGTTATTAATCATTGCAAACTTAAGTCTTTGCTAACTGTGGAGAAAAATATCAATTTTATGGTAGACTTCATATAACTATGCCAAACCTTATTGATTCTAATAACATTATCTTCCTCTTAGTAGAATTTGTACTATTTAAAGCAAAGGGGTAAGTTATAATATTTAAATTCTGGAAGCAGAGAAGGTCTGATAGCAAGCAAAAATCCAGAAAGGCTGGGATTCCACATGTGGAATTTTAACTCTATAATGTGAGTCTTTCATTTTTGACAGTTTCCCCTTCTGAACATTAGCCTGACACAAAGGTATTTGCCCTCTTTACAAGGCTGTCCTTGCCTCCCTAAAGCTGGAGGCCGCAGTTAAACCTGCACAGCAATTTACGATTGAGGCTTCCAAATTCACCATCATCATTAAAATGTGAATCTGACTGCTGGGAGTGAACTACCTGCGCTTGTCCCATTTTAAATAAACTTGGATTTTGGCAGGTTGGAGTCAGCTTCCACACATGCGACCATTCCTGAAACAGATCCTATCTGCTCATACATTTTATAACTCCCCCAAAACCTACGAATTAGAAGCATGTACATTTTTTTTAGCATTCCTTGTGCAATTGGAATTTCAGCTAAAAAGCAATTCAAAACTGAGCTGTTGGAATGCTATGATGCAGAGGTTGGCAGTTGGTAAAGTGATGCCTGCCTGTCTTTAACTTTATCTAAAACGACAGATTATTTACCCCAGAAAAATATAATACTTTTGGAGCTTGATTTGGAGTCACCATTGCTCCCCCCAGTAACACCTTCCTTACATTTTGTTAAAGTCTTGGAGAGTTTTCCGAAAGCAAACATAACCAGTTTTGCCTTTCAACTTAGAACATAATGCCACTTTTGGTAGCAACAGGAATAACATATCAAAGTGTGTGGACTTTTCCCCTTGGGATTTAAGGGATATTTGCCAAACTGTAAACCAAGTCAGCAGAAATCATTTCTGCAGCACAGGAGGAATGTAGATTAAGCTCTAAGAACGTGTGTGCAGATATAATCTTAACAGTGCTAGAGGGAAAGAGAATCACATTGATGCGCAGCACATACTAAAACATCAAATATATGACTGATCAACTTAAACAGTAAAATTGTGAAGATCCTGGGGAATAATATTAAAAGTAAAATATTAGGTTAGTATTAAATATAACAAGTTTAGAACATTTTTGTTTCGGGTGGATCAACTTGACATAAATCACATGCTTACCATTGCAGATGGCTGTAATAGGTTCTGCTTTAGATACCAAATATGCTGCAAATTGTAAACAGTAATACCATCATAGTCATACTGGACCAAAGGGCTGCTCTCTTGGAGATGACTGATGGTGGTTTAACCCGAGCTGTAACCTGAAGGTCACCGTACCTCAGGCGAGGGGAGAGGTGAGCAGGAGGGTCCTTCATGGTAACCTCAGTCAGAATGGGAAGTTGGCAAATTGTACAGGCCACATCAAACAATGTACGCTTTTTTAATGTGAATGAATGTTATGTTGTGGTTTTGTATAAATGCATATCTATTAACTAAATAACAAGATGTAGTAACTTTGCCCTAATTGGACCATAAGTCCCATGAATTGCCAAACAGAACAGGTACTAATCATTGCCCACCATTTTTGCCAAATAAAACATGCAGTCAGTCCAGACACAGTGCAGTAACATTGTTCAATTTAAAAGGATCTTTGCATAGAAAATGAATTGGTAAGAGCAAATGTCATTTCCCACATTTCCAGAGGAAGCCTTTGTTGATTCTGATTCTTTACATTGACTGAAATTGTGCAAAAATCTTGAACAATTTCCATGTCATTCCTGCTAATTCCAACTTTACCACTATCTCTGCTGCGATATTTCTCTCAATATTTACACAACAAAAATACATTTTTCTATTGCGCTATCACAGTTTATTCTGGCAGCAAAACAAACTCCCATTTTACCTTCAGTATTCAAGTCAGATACTGTCAAGGTTTGTTTCGAATATTTTGATTTGATATTCAAGAACTAGTGTATACATTATTAAGTTATTGCAAAGCATAAACAAATCAGCTCTAATAAGAAGTATTGCTTATGCTCAAATAATTGCATAGTTGAATTTGTCGTGTTGTGAAAATGCCATTTAAAAGAAAAGTGGGTGTGACCAAATTAGAGAAGTTCCTGACAGAGAGAACATTCCTTTCAAAATACTGAAAGGGGAGATGATATATTTGGTGTTGGTATCCAAATGGAAGTAATAGAACTGTCAGGAAATAGTCTATTAAATCTGAAGGGTGGAAGGTGATAAACTAAATGAACACAACTGAATAAAAACCGAAAGAACTGCTGATGCTGTAAATCAGAAACAAAAACAGAAGTTGTTGGAAAAGCTCAACAGGTCTGGCAGCAATTGTAAAGAGAAATCAGGGTTAACGTTTGGGTTCGGTGACCCTTCCTCAGAATCGGACTCAAAACGTTAACACTGATTTCTCTTCACAGATGCAGTCAGACCTGCTGAGCTTTTCCAGCAATTTCTGTTTTTGTTTCTGAACATAACTGAGGGCTTTGTCTACTATGGTGAAGGTGAATTGTCAGTTGAGGTAAAAGAGAAAAACATATTCAGAAGCGTTAGAACAAATGCAACACAGACAGAGAAATGTGCAGAAGCTAGGTGTGAGGAAGTCTTAGTGAGGTGCTGTGGGAGTCATGGATATTCGGTCAGAGGCTAATCCCAGAAAGAGAGACAAGAAGCTGAGCAAGTGCAGCATTAGGAATGCCTTGGGCTTCAACCTATGACTGCACATTTATGGAACATGTTGAACATTCATTGTTTCAGTCTTAGTCAGTCTCAGTCTTTTAGCTGTTACATCAATAACTGTATTGGTCCCATTTTCTCCTCGCACCCTAAACTTGAACAGTACATCAACCTTGCTTCCAATTTCTACAATACCGTCATGTCATTAGTTATCTCCACATGTTCCCCTAATTTCCTTAATATCTTGTATACGTGCTATATGAATTTCAGTGGTAGGCTAACTATCTCAACCACCAGCGGATCAGCACAAACAGCATACCCCTCTGACTGTTTGACACTGGCAGAGTACTAGCCTAACAAACCCATGTTGCAAAACCCAGGACGTAGATTTCTACATTTGACATGATTCTGTGATGGGACAGCACTTACTAAACAATCATGAGTGAACTAGGGATTACCAATCAATTTAAGATCCTTAGCTGTGTTTACAATGTGGCTTAGTTATGCTTGTTAGCCACCTGACCTCTGCAAGCAGAATGAACATTTACTTTTATTAATTAAGTGAAAACTTTTACAGGACAACTGTTCACTGGTATTTTCCCATGAACTAATCATTACCAACTTACTTTACAATTTAAAAGCTTGCCGCTGCAAAGTTAAGCTTCAAGAACATGTCGCTTTATTTTCAGCAAGTAAATACTTTTTGGTTGTGGCTCAGAGAAAAATGTCAGCAAGCCAACTTTCTTTTTTTTCTCCCAATGCTGTTATGGGATTTTCCACATTCACTTAAATAAACAGACAGGGTTTTGATATAGCATTTTATCTGTAACGACCCTCAGTGGCATTTACTGAGTATTTCAGCATAGACCATGTGCACACATCCTGAAATGAAAATGGAACCAAGGCTTTTTGACTTAGATTTAAAGTTGTTATGACTGAACCAATAGCATTTTGTGTACACAAAACACAAACAGAAAATATGTATTTTAAACAATGGTGTCCTCTATCTATTAGCACTCAGTATAATACACCGCATAAAATAATTTTCACATTCAATTTGAATTTTAACACTCAGTAAGGTAGTGATACATTTATATTAGTTAACAAACAAAATGCTTAATGAACTGAACATGTGTCAGAAAAGCATCAGGAAGCCAGAAAGTTATGATTGGGGAACAAAGAGATGGCAGACTAATTAAATATATACTTTGATTCTGTCTTCATGAAGGAGAACGCAAACAACATAACAAAAATCTCAGGGAACAAAAAGTCTAGTGAGAAAGAGGACCTAGGGAAAAGCAGTATTAGTAGGAAAATGATGTTGGGGAACCTGATGGTGTTAAAGCCCAATAAATCCACAGGGCCGGATAATCTACATCCCAGTGTAATAAGGAAGTGGTTCTAGAAATAGGGGATGCATTGGTGGTCATCTTTCAAGAAATTTCTGAAACAGTTCCAAAGGATTGGTAGGTTTCTAATGTAATCCCACTATTTAACAAAAGGAGGTAAACAGAAAACAGAAAATAATAGACCAGTTAGCCTGACGTTGATGGTGGGGAGATTGCTAGAGTCCACTATAAACGCCTTAATGCCAGAACACTTGGAAAACAATGACAAGATTGGACAGATTCAAGCATGAAATCATGCTTGACCAATCTACAGGA